ACAGAATTTAGAAAATAGGGCACAAGGCCACTGCTGACTGTCAGGATGAGGGGGATATGCCTCCCCCGACTGATTATATCATCATTAGCCACTAGGAGGGGGTTCTTGCACCTTCCTCTGAACTAACTGGTGCTGGGGTGGCTGGCCCCATTGATCTGATTTGGAGAAGGAGGCAGCAGGGAGAGGGCAGGATACTGGGCTAGATGGGTCCTGTGATGCTAGCAGACCAGGTGCCAGCTCATGCCCAGGCCCTTAGGCCTCACTGAACACTGACAAATGCAGCGCTTGACCCAGCCTGTGTGTTAGCTGTGTGAAAACAGCTGCTTATCAGCGTGTGTGGAGTGTTTCGACTTGTGGAATTGCTTGCAGGATTGATCTCTCCCATAACCTCTGTAGCCCGTGGTATAAAGTTAGAATGAATGTTTGCATCGTAAACCTCTGTAACTGCTCTACACCACTGAGTTTGCAAGGCAGCTTACATCCACCTAACACTGCGTCTACACTAAAATTTGGCTCCCGCTGATGTAACTCACCTGCTTTGCCTTAATCATGCCACTTCCCCCAGTCAGCGTAGTTAGGTCAATGCAGTGTCAGTGTACATACTGCGTTGCTCACATCGACTGTCCCGCAATGCCCCACACTGACAGTACAATCGATACCACACACCACAGACACAAGGAGCCAGGTGTACACACACACAAGCACTGTAACTACTGTGGCGGCTGCATGCAGGGCGATTTGATTTTGTAGTGTAGCTATGGCCTGTGTAACTCCCCCAACAGGGGAGAAGCATGAATTAGTGTAAAGTGCTGGGCCTGCCCACTGAAACCAAATGAGCCATTGCGAAACATCAAAGACCTTACTGATTGCCTCTGTTGTTAGATATTTCACTGCGTGTGTGTGTTCTCCCTGTGTGCTGCCCCAGCTCTGCGCAGACAGCCAGCACAGCAGACCTTGAGTGAACTGCCCAATGACCACAAAATCCGTTAAGGGATGAAGGCACGTGGCCAGGTTTATTGTTGACAAGGCATGATAATAGCACCTGGTAGACTCTACAAGGATACTAAGACATGTATGCCTGTGACAATGGACGCAGCTCAGTGAATGGCGGGACTTTCCATTTCCCCCTTGGCTGGACCAAAACATTCTCTCAGAGATACCCTGTTACAAACAAGCTGCCCCTCTGATTTAGATACTGTCCTCTGACCTTGCTAGTTATTGTCCACTTTTTTGTACATGTTGGTTTGATTAAAACATTTTTATTTATTACATTGCTACATGACCTTATCTTTTAGGAGGGCTCAGTGTGTTCCAGTTATCCTTGGGGAATGTTTTTGCACCATTCTTGATATTGTGGTTTTCGTACCATGCTTCTGGAGTGGGTTTGTGTGAGTCCTTTGTGCCGAGCACGGTTCAGGACTGCGCGCTTCTGCACAATCAGCGCTGGGCTCGCCAGACCCTGGGAACGTCTGCGGGCAGGGCCTGACATTCTCTCACAGCCTGACTTTTGCTTTCTATTAGCAAATTTGCCCCTACTTTAGCTTAGGCCTTGTACTAGGCCTTTAATACAAGGGCTCCTATTTTAGGCTTTCTTTCTTCCTCATGCCCTTGAAGGGGAGCCGGGCGCCGACACTCGTTCCATCAGTTTGAGCTCTGGGAACAAGGAATAAAATGCCTGGCCAGAAGGAGCTGTAGCACTGCCGAGCTTGGCACCTGGGGAGGGCAAGATTTCGAAGCGTAAGCAAGGGATCCCCAAGCAGCTCAGCTGGGGTTAGCCCGGAAAGAGAAACAGAGCTTGGAAGTGACAGCAGCTTCTATTGCCTTTTGGAACCTAACCCTGGGCCCGTCTATCACTGAGGCCGGCTTGCTAGACCGGGGTGCTTCAGGGGACTGTTTGCGGCTGTTGCAGGGCTGGAGGAATTCACAGCCAGTACCTGGTTGCTGTAAGCTCTTTTGAGAACACCCAGCCAGTTTCGGGGCTGCCCTGAGGTTGGCACCCATGTTGTGAGCTGCTCCACACCACATGAACTTAGGGTGACCAGATGTCCTGATTTTATAGGGACAGTCCCAATATTTGGATCTTTTTCTTATATAGGCTCCTATTACCCCCCACCCCGTTCCAATTTTTCACATTTGCTGTCTGGTCACCCTAATTCCACTGGGCAGAGCCAGCGTAGCAGGGAGAGGGATACTGGGCTGGATGGGCCCTGTAGGAACCAGCCAGGCTGAGTTTCCTGCAGGGCAGAGGGAGGTGAATGGGCCTCGTTAGATGCAGCCTGGGGGGCTGGCTGTGGTGAGGGAGGTCTCGGGCTTTGAGGGGGTTCTCTCCAACAGGCTGTCTCTGTAACTGATGCTGATCACACTACGCTGCCCCCTTCTTAAAGCCCAGCCCAGCCCAGCAGCTGGAGTCCACCCAGTAATTAGGAAATGAGATTTAATTTCAGGCAACAAAATGCCACGAAAGTGGCGGGTGAGCCGGCTTTGGGCTGCGCGGTAAGATGATAAGCAGCATCACACGGGCTGGTTGGTTGCATAATTGTGAACTTGGCTCAGGCCGGTCGCCTTCCCCACCCCCCGCCCAGCCCCGGAGGTTGGGGGCCGACTCTGGGGAGGGCTGGGGGACGAGATGCTGGGTCCCTGCCCGGGAGAAGGGGTGTGCACTGGGCATCATTCTGGGATCACTCAGCCCCCAGCATGGCCAGGCCCAGGGCAGGGGGCACCAGGCTGCAGTCCACACCCACAAGGGATGGGCAGTTTGGGACAGGGCTGGCTCAGCCTGGGTTTGGTGAACTCCGATCTTTAGACAATATTTCCTCTAGGGCCCATTGGATGCACCTGTGCTGCCTACAGGGGGCACTGCCGCTGCATGGGGGTGTCACCCACCTGCACCTGCTGCCTCCCACTGCCCCACCCCAAATCACCCCTGGCCCCTCCACCCATGCACTGTATACAGCTTGCAGTCACTGTAAACCTCTCCCCCTCCCTGCTACCCCCACTGCCTCCCCCCAGCCCTGCTGTAAGCCCCCCAGTCATCCCGCTCTGCCCCAAACACTCTCCCTCCAGCAGGGTCTGCATGCAGGTCTCTGCAGGCTGAGCCCTTCTGCAAGCCTGGTGCAGCCTCACCTGGCCCTGGGTCCCAGCTCCACCCTAGTCATGATCCCCCCAATCCAGCCCAAAGATCTTGGGGGCCCTGGCACAGCTGGCACTGGGAGACGGGCATCTTGGCACCCCATTCCCACCAGCCCCCAGGGCTGGGACCAGCACAGTGATCAGCTCCCCCAGGCCCACTGCATGGGCTGATGCGTGCAACCCTCTCCAGCTGCCCTCACCAGGGCCTGGGGCAGAGCATGGCAGAGCCAGGGCAGAGGGGCTGGGCCTGTCTGCTGGACCCACCCTCCCTCCTGGCACCGACCAGGCCCATGGCCAGCTGTCTCAGGCCTGCACCCCCCTCATGCTTCTGGGGGCAGGCTGAGGGGTACAGCGTGTGTGGCTGGGGTCCCTCTTGCCCCGGTGGCAGCCCAGCTGTAAGGGCAGCCATGGTGGGAGCTGGCGAGCCCACAGTTGGGCAGGTGTCTCTGCTGGAGCGTTTTAATTCCGCGCCCCCCAATCCGCCGCCCGCCTGCCTGGCAGCCGCGCAGCAATTATCCAAATGGCTGTTAATTGCGGCTGATAATTCCCCACGGGGATCAGGGGTGGAAAGCTCCGCAGCTGAGCAGATTGGGGCTGGGCCCGAGCAGCAGATCCCAGGTGCCAGGGTCTCTCACCCCGTCCACAGCAGGCACGCAGCGCTGGCAGGGCTCGTTTGCCCAGCAGGGAGACAGGAGCTGGCCCCGGGGGAGGGGAAACGGGGCCGCATGGGCTCTACGGGACTGACCTTGCCGGGGCACGTTCCCAGCAGGCTGCGTGTGCAATTATTAGCAGGAGTATGAGGGGAGAGAAGGATGGGCAGGGCAGGGGGGCTGGGAGGCAGGACTCCTGGGTTCTGTGCTGAGCTCTGGGAGGGGAGTAGGGTCTAGGGGTTAGATCAGGGGCTGGGAGGCAGGACTCCTGGGTTCCATGCCCAGCTCTGCCCCCAAATCCATGTGAGTCACTCCTGCTCTGGGTGTCTGTTATTGAGGTTTCGTGTCACACGGGTGCTGCTGGGCATTTTCCAAGCCCCCTGGGGGGCTGGGATCGATTTTTGCCAAGCCTGGGGCACTCTGAGGCTGGCAGGTGCTGGGGAGCCATGACAGGGTGAGATGGGTAGGGCCACAGGAGGGGTGCAATGCAGAGTCTGGGCTGCAGGGAGCACATAGGCTGAGAATGCCTGACCTGGCTGGTCCCCTCGTGCTGCGGAGAGGAACTGCATTTTTTCCCTCTGCCTGTCTCCCACCCAGGGCAGCCCCCAGCTGGGCAGGGAAGCAGCCACCTGCCCTCCCGTGAACCAGCCAGGGGCACTGGGCTTGAAGGGGTGCTAGCCTAACGTGGCCTAGGCCAGGCCCAGATGATCACAAACAGGGCGAGCCCAGCCAGGCCATACCTGAGACAAACCTGGCTCAGGCCGGGCCCCAACCCATGGCTGCATGGCCAAGTCAGTGCCCTCCAGCCCCCCGCCCTCCCCAACTGCCTGCAATAGCCGTGCTGCTCTCCCCCCCGCATATGCTGGCAGAGGGGTGACAGGAGGGGGAGGGGCGGGGCTGTGCTTTGGGTCCCAGGCAGGGGAGGTAGGAATGGCTGAAGCTGGTAGATAATGGAGCCTGACTCTCCCCCTACCCCATCAGGGGCAGGGGGCCACAGGGCACAAAGGGTGACAGCCCTAGAGGCTGTGCCAGAGGGAGGAAGCCTGTCCTGCCACCTGCCCTAACAGCCAAGCAGCCTGGGGGTCATTCCCCCCCGCCCCCAAGAACTGACACCGCAGCCAGGAGTAGGGGGGAAGGTGCCTTGTTGAGAAGAGGAGGTGGAGCTGGGGACAGCGAGCTGGAGCTGTGGGGGGCAGAGTCTCTGGGGGAAGGGGGCTGCTTCTAGGCCTCCTCGGGGTCCAGCTGGTTGAGGGTTTGGATGTCATCCAGGAAGTGCTTGGGGGTCAGGATGTGACTGGAACCTGGGGGAGAGAGAGGTGGTTGGCAGCGGTGGGCACAGTGGGGCGGGTATGAGGCTGGCATCACCATCACCCCCATCCTTGCAGCTGGACCCTGCTCTAGTGCAGGAGGGGAGGAACTGTCTCCTACCCCCCGTGGCCTGGCACCGCACCCCTCGTGCCGCTGTACCCTGCACGGCCAGGCAAGAATCCACGCGCTGACAGTGTTCCTCACCCTTGGGTCTTCGAGGGGTGTGTGCAGGGGGTGAGCCATATCTCTATGGGTGTTACTGGGGTGTCTGACTGGGCCCCCACACATGGTCCCTGGGCAATGAGAGGCCTGGGGAACCAGGGGCCAGGAGATCAGGCGGCTAGATACAGGCCATGTGGGGCAAGGACATCTGTTCCCAGGCCCCCGGGTGCGGGAGGACAGAGGGTAGCATGGGCCCCCTGTGGGTGCTGGGGTCTCCCCCTCTCAGGGGGTCCCAACTGTCCCTGACCTGGGCATTCCAGCCGCCCTTCCCCCCAGGACTTGCCCCATTCACCGATCACCACCTCCCACTTGCCCCTGGTGGCTGGGGTCACTTCATAGGTGCAGCGCATCTCAGACATGGACACCCCACCCAGCACATAGATGCTGAGGCGCGGGCCCGTCTGGTACTCAGCCGCTGGCTTGTTCTTGTGCCAATGCCCAAAGCGGGCACTGGGGGGAGAGAGGGGCAGTGTGGATACTAGGGGCTCGCTGAGGGAATGCCAGGTGTAGGGGTGGGCACTGCCTGAAGCGGGGGCTGGGGGGAGAGAGGGACAGTGTGGATACCAGGGGCTCGCTGAGGGAATGCCAGATGGAAGGGCAGGGCCTGGAGGAGGCTCGGGAGCAGGCCCTGCCCAAGAGGGTGGGACAGGAGTCCCAAAGCAGGCAGAAGGGAGTAGGGGAGGGTGGCACCTGCCCTGGGCTGGGGGTGCTGTCTAAAGCTCTGCCAGTCCCTTTCCTCTATCCTGGGCCCTGCTGTGTTGAGGGACTGCTGGGGTGAGGGGGACATGGTAAGAGCGGTCCAGGGCTCCAGGTTGTTGGGCAACCCTCCCCCATAGACGGCAGGGTCCTGGCCACACGCTCCCAGGCACAGAGGCTCCTACACCCTGGGGGCTGGGGGGGGGGGCGTTGTCAGGGCTCTGCCTTACCTGACAACAGCCTGGGAGCTGGTGGTAGGGACAGGGTCCGAGACAAAGGGCCATAGATTATTGTCCAGTTTGTCCTCAATGATGTCCTGACGGGGGGAGGACAGGTCAGCAGGGGCTAAGCAGCAGGAACCTCAGACCTGGTGGCCAAGCCAGGCCGCACTGGGGCGGAGGGGCTGGGGCAGCTCCTCACTGAATGATTGACAGTCCCTGTGGGGAGCCGCCTGGGGCCCCCTTTCCAGGGTGGGGCATGGGGAGCCAGCAAAGAGCATGCTGACTCCTCCAGTGATGCCCCCCAACTCCCCACATCCCCCTCAGCTGCTCAGTGCCCTGCTGTGAACTCCCCACCCATCCACCGTTATGGGGAGGGCAGAGACCTCCTGCAGCTGGATCCAGGGCCCCTTGCTTGGGATGGGGAGGCAGGGGGCTGCCCTCAGTGCCCCTTCCCTGCTGCGGGCAGATCCAGGCCCTGCCTCTTGCCCCATGAGGTGCATCCCAGATACGCAGGGGGCCCAGGCTGAGATACATCCTAATGCCACATAATAGGGGCGTTTACATTAGTCCGCTGCATTGACTTGTACAGGGAGCTTAAGGCCTGCCAAGCTGTGGCTGGCGCAGAGGGGGGCGCCCCTGATTGGATTAGGCATGGGACTGAGGTTACCGCAACTACCTGCCCCAAAATCCCACAGGAGGAACCATCACAACGCTGGAACAGGGGCCTGGGAGCCTCCCGTCTGTGATCTGCCAAGGACAGGAGCTCCGGTTGGGGGGCTAATTCTTGGCCTGGAGGAGCCCCAAGCCAGTAGGTTGAAGGCAACTAAGTGTGCCCCCCACCCCCTTGAGGAGTGCCCCACAGGACAGGGTGATGAGGGGCTCAGCCCCCAGCAAAGGTGGGGGAAGGAGTGACTATGTCACCTCTCACAAGCTAAGCAGGTTTGGGCCCAGGCAGTGCTTGGATAGGAGACCTCTAAGGAAAAGCCACTGGGTGCTGGGGGGTGCGAGTGAGTCGGCAGAGGGTGCTCTATGACCCCAGTGCGGCGCTAGGGGGTGCTGTACTGCAGGGAGTGAGTTGGGGGGGGGGTCTGCAGGGGGCGTGACCAGTACTGTGCTGCAGGAGTTCATCCTTTAGATGAGCGTCAAACAGCTGCTCCTCACTGGAGGTTAGGCCAAGGACCCTGCCAGCCATTCAGATTTCAGTGCCAGTCATGACAGTGTGCTGCCTGGATCCCCTGCACTTCCAGCCCCACACACTGATCATCTCCTGCCCTAGACTCTCATGCAGCGCTGCTGGGCCATTGTTAATAGCTGCCTGCCACTCCTTAGGAAGAATTCAGCCCCGGTGAGGGACCGCTGTATAAACCGCCCGTGCCCCACCCCAGAGGTGGCAGCATCTCAGCACCGGGTAAGACAACTCCCCTGCACTCGTGTCTATGGTTGAAGACCCCTAAGGATGGCAGCAGGAGAGGACTCTCTGATGAGCCCCTCACATGGCTAGAGCCCTGCGCAGATACAAAAGTGTGGATGTGCATCAGCCCGCGATCCACAAGCCGCCTTTTACCTGTATCCACATCCTCACCGGCAGCAGCTAGCGAGGGTGGGGAAGGGGCAGCGTGGAGGGATTGGGGGCTGGGGGAAGGGGCAGTGTGGAGGGGGGGTCTCGAGGAGAAGGGGCAGTGTGGAGGGGGTGGGGGCTGGGGGGGAAGGGGTTTCTCATCATGTGCCGCTCCTGGGGGGGGTCATGAGCGTACACGGCAGCAGCAGAGCATGTTGCATCACAGTGGGGTGGAGGGGTGGGGTGCTGGGGCTCCGCCCCCTCCCATCCCAAATCCTGCTGCCCAGGAGCTGGTGGGGACACTGGTGCTGCTCAAGCTGCTGGACAGGAAGCACCTTGGCGGGGCGAGTGGGTGCTAGACAGCCCTGACTCCGACCTGTCACCCAGCCACTGGCTGTGGGCTGGCGGCCCCGAGTGCCCTGCGTGCCCCGGGCTGCCTGAGCCGGATGCCGCGGGCCAGGTGCTGCTGGGGAGTAGAGCCCTGCACGGTTGTATCTGCAGCCGATCCACTATCGGCAGAAATGGGGCGCGGATATGCAGGGCTCTACACATGGCTGACCCCAAACCACCCCCTGGGGCCCAGCCTGCCAGTTGTGACCCCCACCCCCAAGGCCAGGAAGCAGATGGCCCAGTACCTCCATGACATCCTTGAGCATGGGGGTCCAGCGGGAGAGCTGGTAGGTGGATTCCAGCCGCACCTTCCTCTCCGGTCGCAGCTGCCCGCTCTGGGGGAGGAAGGGAGAGGGGGTGAGAGGCAGCAGGGAGGAGGTGCGGGGTGGGAACGGGGGCAGACAGGGAGAGCGTGGCCTACCTGAGTCGCGCCAGCCAGGTTGGTAGGGGAGAGGCAGAGAAAAGAAAAGAATGGATCACTGAACGAGAGAGAGAGAGAGGAGGGGAGAGAGACTGATGGGAGAACAGAGCTGCTTCCCCCCATTCGCCACATGGCCACCCCACACAGTGGTCACCAGCTCCAGCTCCCTAGAGATCTGAGGTCCTGACCCCCAGGGTCCTCTGCAGAGGCAGAAGAAGTCACCCCAGATGGGGAGTAACTCAGGGGTCACCCTCATATGGGGAGGGCGTCACCCCACTGTACAGGGACAGAGGCCACCTCTGTGCTGGGAGTAGGTCACTGCCATAGGGGGGCACCTCCAGGATGGCCTGGGCTCCCCTGTACAGCACAGATCTGCCCCCTGGCATGGGTACAGCTGCTGGCCCCTGGCCCCAGTCCCTTACCCCAGGCGTGAGAGAAATGCCCAGGAACTGCATGTTGTGGATGATGTCTCTCTGCTGCTGGATGTTGGCATGCTGGATCAGCTTGGTGAGGTTCTCCTTGTCCACACTGCACAGGGACAGACAGGTCAGCCCTAGCACCCCTGGGACGCACCCACAGCCCAGGCACACGAGTCCGTGGCCCCAGGAGTCCTAGTTCCCCGATCAAATCCTGAGATCCTGCTCTTCCCACCCCTCTCACAGCTGGGGGTAAATCCAGGAGTCCTGGCTCCCAGCCCCCCTCTAACCCACTAGACCCCACTGCCCTCCCAGAGCTGAGGATAGAACCCAGGAGTCCTGGCTCCCACCACCCGCTCTAGCCCACTGGACCCCACTGCCCTCCCAGAGCTGGGGTTAGAACCCAGGAGTCCTGGCTCCCAGCACCATCTGCTCTAACCCACTGGACCCCATGCAGTTAATGATTGAATTTAGGTTCTTGCTGCTCCTCCCTCAACAGGTTCTCTCGGGCGCTGGGGTCAGGGATCTCTCTAGTTCCCCCTGGCAGTGCAATGGGAGCCCCCGTCCCCCTGATCTGGGCTTCCCCTTTTGCGGCCAGTCAGGTGCAGAGTCAGAGCTGAGGCCTGGCTCTTTAAGGCTGTGAGGCCTTGAGCTGGAGGGAGGGCAACGTGCCCCACCCCTGCCCCCCCAAACCATTTACTGCTGCTTAGTGCAGACGGGGAGGCCTGGCAACTCCACAGCACCCCCTGGCCAGGAAACCGGGCAGCCAGAGGAGCCACATGAGGGCACCCTGGCCTGGGCAATGGGCGCGGGTCAGTGCCTGAGCAGGGTTACAGGAAGGGCCCCGGAGCAGGGCCCTGCCCCACCAAGCCAGCATGGGGCAGGAACGGATGGGGGAAGAGGGACTGTGCCAAGGGAGGTTCCCCAGGCCCTGGTGAGTTTGGGGAAGGGGCTGGATGCAGCAAGAAGCAGGGAGCTGCTGCAGGGATGACACAAGGGGTGGGCAGGGGACTGGTCGCAGGAGGCTCAGAGACAGAACATGGCATCTGAGCAGCCTGCAGAAAGAGAGGGATGTCCCTCCTCCCTGCAGAGAATGGGCAGGGGGGCTGCTTCGGGTGTGTTTCTCCATCCCCCCTTCCTGCAGAGAACGGTCTTGGGGGAGCATGGAGGGTGGACACTGCTCGGAAGGCAGCAGCAGGGAGCAAAGGCCGCCAGGTCCGAGCCCAGGGGGCAGTGCGGAGCGTGGGCACAGCGCACTGGCAGGCTCGCAGGCACCGAGAGGTGGGCAGAGGGGAGACAGGGCCGTAGAGCCAAGCTGGACACAGGCCCTGGGAAGCGGCTGGCCGGGAGACGCCCTGCATAGCAGGAGGGCTTGCCAGTCTGAGCATTGCTATTCCCCCCCAGCCCCACAGGCCTGGGCCCCACCTCCAGGAGCACCCCTTGCAGCAGCAGGCCCCGCAGTGCTCCCCCTGCAGGCCTGTGGCGTTACCATTCTTCAGGAAGATGTAGATCAAGATGATGCGGATCTTGTCGTAGGCCTGCACGCTGGGGTCCAGCAGAACGGGCACGATGATCTTCATGGGGTCCTTGATCTTCTCCCCGTCCACGTCCGTTCCCATGGCCAGGTCCTGTGGGGGGAGGGAGCGCACACACAAGGCCCAGGTCAGGCCGCTCTGCTTCCTCCCGCCCCCGCAGCAGGATGGGAGATGTGAGGGCCCCACGACCCACAGCTCGCCTACCCCCCATGCCAGGGCCGCCTCCTCCCTGGGGTCAGCTCCCCCTGGGGTGAGCAACGGGCCCCCAGGGAGTAACCCGAGCCACATGTCCCCCTTCTGCACCCCCGGTGCTGCATGGTGGGGCTGACCCTGGCTCCATCGAGCCCGCGGGTCTGAGACCCCTCTCTCCGGGCTGAGTCCATGAGCCAGACTCTGCCCCCCAGCCAGGCTCTGCCCACAGACCCACCTGCTCCACGCTGCACAGCTTCTCCACCGTCCCTTTGAAGTGCCGCATGCAGTGCTCAGCCAGGTTCAGGTGCGTGGAGTACTGCGGGGAGAGACCGAGACACAGGGGGAGTTTACTGCATCACCGGCTGGTCCAGAGCACCTGAACCCCCCAACCCACAAGGAGGGCCCCTCAGCCAGAGGGGCAGCCCCAATCGGTTGTAGAAGCTGAGTATATAGGGATAGTTTTGCCCAGCACTGATGTGCAGCCACCTCTGGGGTGGAGCGGGGCAGCGGGAGGGGAGGATCAGGAGGAGGGAGCAGCTTCCAAAACAGCCCACGGCTTCTCTGTTACGCACCACAAGGTTGGGGGCTTGGAGACCAGCAGGTGTCGGGGTACCTGTGCCAGTGGCCAGGAGCTTTCTGTTGGCACATGGCCCAGTGGCACCAGGAGTGGCTCCAATGGGCTGGTTTGGAAGCCCACCAAGGCCCTCTCCCGAGAGCTGCAGCAGCAAGGCACGGGCGTTACCCAAGGGCTGCCATTGGTGGGGCAAACGTGGCAGCTCTGGGCACTGACAGGCAGGCTGCTGCCCATGGTGCCACACAGCACCTGGGGGGAAAATGGCTCTGCCCAATGGGACAGGTCAGCAGCTCTCATCAGGCAGTAAAGCGGAGTACCCCAGAGTGCCCTGCCCCCCCAGGAGAGTCCCTACTGTCCCTTACCAGCCCCACAGAGCACCCTGCGCCTCCCATCAGTCCCCTGAATGCCCTGCCCCCCGCCCACTAACAGCCCCAGCCCCGTTACCTTGTTCAGCTCTTTGTGATACTGGGGCATCTTCTTCAGGATCTGGGACAGGTCCTCGATGTTGGTCTGGAGGGAGGCGGTGGTGAGATCCCAGCCGCTCCCAGCGCTTGGAGCCCCCTGCAGGGCAGAGGCCTCACCTGGGGACAGCCGCAGCAGCCCAGCCACGCGTGCCAGGGCCAGGGTGAGTCACTCAGGCCATGCGTGGCTGCGGCTTAGGTTAGACCTGCCCTTCCCAGGCCAGCTGGAACGAGACGGGAGCCCCGCAACCCGAGCGCCCCTCGAGATGTAAAGCGGCAGCGGGCCGGGGACCGGGGAGATGCCAGCGTTGGCTCCCTGCAGCTCTCCCTGCGCGGCCCCGATCCTGCTGTCTGACCCCGCCCCATGGGCCTCTGCCCTCCCCCACTGTGGGGAGCTCCAGAGCTCTGGCTGGGGGGCAGAGGACTCCACATACACCTCTTAGCCCTTTACAGGCAAACCCTGGGAGCAATGGGACAGACCCCCCCCACCAACCCCTCCTGGGGCAGCAGGACAGCCTCCCCTTCCCATCAGTGGCAGTGGGATGGGTCCCCCCGTCCCGGACTCCCCAATCGCTCCCCCCAGCCCCCGCCGCACCTTATCCGTGGTCAGCCTCTTGCTCTCATAGAAGGTGCGCAGCAGCTCCGTCACCTTCCTGCAGCAGGGAGAGGGGTCAGGACGGAGCCAGGCACTGCCTTGGAGGTAGGGGGTTCCCTGTCCTATGCTAGAGGGGATGGAGCCCCCACCCCACGGGCACCAGGGTTCTCTGCCTCAAGAGCCTCAGACAGGCTGGGGGAGGCCCTCTTCCTAAGTTACCCCAAGGCAGAGAGTTCAGTGCACCTCTGGGGGCTCCTGGCGCCCTGCTCAGGGGGCCTGGGGGCAGTGGCAGGCCCAGTAGGAGGTTAGTGAAGGACTCACTCAAGGGTCTCAGAGTAACAGCCGTGTTAGTCTGTATTTGCAAAAAGAAAAGGAGGACTTGTGGCACCTTAGAGACTAACCAATTTATTTGAGCATGAGCTTTCGTGAGCTACAGCTCACTTCATCGGATGCATACCGTGGAAACTGCAGCAGACTTTATATACACACAGTTTCCACAGTATGCATCCGATGAAGTGAGCTGTAGCTCACGAAAGCCCATGCTCAAATAAATTGGTTAGTCTCTAAGGTGCCACAAGTCCTCCTGTTCTTTTTACTCAAGGGTCTGTGAGGTGCATGGGGAGACCCTGGGATCGGGGAAAGACAGTGTCCGGGGGGATCCCCGAGACGAGATGTGGACAGCAGCTCTGGAAGGGAGGGCTCAGGGGTCCCTTGGGGAGAGGGGCTGGGTCCAGGGGGTCTCAGCATTCAGAGAGGAGTATGTCTGAGGGACAAGCTCCAGCACTGGGTGGGAGGGGGAAGGGGAGTCCTGGCACTGAGCAGGAGAGGGGTGTGTTACGGGGGGTGTCCCTGCACTGGGTGGGAGAGGAGTGTATCCAAGGGGGAGTGGGGTTCCAGCACTGGGTGGGAAGGAAAGGGGAGGGGTGTGTCCAAGGGGGCCCCAGGGTAGGGAGGGGTGTGTCTGAAGGGGAAGATGGGGGAAGTCCTGGCACTGGAAAAGGGAAGGGGTGTGTCAATGGGGTGGGCTGTCCTGGTATTGGGTGGGGAGGGGAGAGGTGTGCCGAAGGTGGGGGGGAGTAGCAAGACCCGGCACTAGGCAGGGCACAGAGGGGTGTGTCCAGGGGTGTCCTGGCATTGGGTGGGGCACGGAGTGGTGTGTCTGGGGGGGGATGGGTCCTGGCCCTGGGTGGGGCACGGGGGGTATGTCCGGTGGATGAGCGGGGCATGGAGGGGTGCGTCAGGGGGCGGGGCCGAGCGCGCTCACTTGGAGACGTCAGCGATGTGCATGTGGCGTAGCTGCACCCCGAGTTCGTCGTCTTCGTCCAGCAGCGCCTCTTTCTCCCGCGAGTCGCTGATGCCCGTCGTCTCGTACCTGCAGGGGGGAGATGGGGTCAGGCTGCGGCACCCCTCGCCCGAGCGTGGGGGCTGCGGAGCAGTGCGGGTGCCTGGGTCACATCCCCCCCAGCCCGCCTGAGGAGGGGTGCGGGGCGCCCCCTGCTGGCAGCCAGGCCCTACTTGTAGGTGTCTTTCTCGATGCTGAGCAGGTCGTAGGCCATGGCCTGGTAGGTGAGCTCGTGCAGCAGCGGGGACACCAGGTCGAAGCTCCGGTCCACGATCCACAGCTGAGAATGGGTTTTGTCGGGGCCCTGGGGCAAAGGAGAGAGAAACCCGTCACCCCCTGCTCTGGCGGAGGGTTCCTGGCCTGGCTTACATGGCACAATCCAATGGGCCCTGGTGGCCTGAAACATTACCACCAGTCCCCTCTGTGGCCAACCCCCAACCCCAGGGGGAAGCCAAGAGACACCCCCCCAAGCTAGCTGGGACGTGCCCTGGGGTCCCGCCCTGACCAGCTGCACTGCAACGCCCCCTGCAGGGATGGGTTATCTGCCCCTCGTGCAAATAGCAATGCCCCCCTCCCCCAAGCACGCTCTCTGCTCGTGCCTCTCCACCAACGGGAGCATGCCCCTTACAAGGCAGCCCCCCGACTGCCCCCTGCCCCATATGCTGTGTGGGGACGGGAGGACCAGACACCAGAAGGGCCTGGCTAGTCTATCATGAACCAACACCAGGCCCAGAGACTCTTTGATACAAGGTCCCAGAGGGGGACGACAGGACATTATCCCTATGCCCCACCCGCATCTGAGCTGGGACCCCATATGAAGCTCTAGCTCCCCTCTCCCAGCCTGGGTGGTCCCCCAGCATCCAGTGGGACAGAGACCACTCAAATGGTCAGCATCTCAGACCAACATCATGGGGGGGCTGGCCCAGCCCCCGCTTCCTGCCTGATCAGCATGCACTGCCCTCTTTGTGCAGCAGGTGGCGATAGGAGACCAGCCCTGCGCTCTCATGGCAGACGGCTCTGAAACTGGCTCCAGCAGCCCCAGTGGAACCCAAGCCCACCCAGGAGCACCTCGGCAAGGGGCTGCGTCTGCTCTTCGCTGGGTAGCACAGACAGTCGGGGGTGGGTGGGGTGGGGACGTACAGCCCCTGATGCTACCCCAACTGTCCCACCTCAGTACGTGGCCCGATTTTCAGCCACGCTCGGGAGCAGAACGTCGGACCGGCCACCACCCACCCGCCTGGCAGGTCTCCACAGCCTCTGGGTAAATGGGTTGAGGCTGACGGGGGGAGCGCCTCTCTTGGAGGAGTATCTGGCCCCCACCCCTGTAGCACTATCATTGCTGCATCCTGCCCCCCCATGCACGTGGGGCTGGACAGGGCTGTCACCCCATTGCAGAGGGGGACGGAGGCCCAGAGGGGCTGGGTGACTCACCCAAGGTCACACAGGGAGTCTGTGGTAGACCAGGGACATGAACCCAGAGCTGGCGCCATCATTCCTCTCCAGCCCTACCCAGCCTGGGTGGCTTGCTATGCTCAGCCCCCACCCCCCACCCTTCCGGGACTCTGCTCACACCTTTGCCAGTTCGGCTCTGCTGGAGGGATCCCCGAGTGCAGATGGGGGCTGGCGTAACCACCGGGTCACCCCACCCTGCCCAGAGCAGAGGGGTGGTTAGTGCACTGGTGGGTGCCACAGCACTGCCTGTCCCAGCTACCCCTCAGGGCTGGCAGCTGGGAAACATCAAGGCAAGAGGGACTAGTGCAGACAAGGCCCCAGGGTGCCGGGACCGCGGGCTGGGTGGCTTTGGAGACCTGACTGCTAGAGGCCATGCTACAAGAGACCCTGGGGTTCTTTCTGCGCCAGCTGGCAAGGCAGGGGCACATTGGACTGGCCAGCCGGGATTGTGCTGCATGGAGCCAGCATTGCATTGAGAGCAGGGGCTTGAGTCAGCAGTCCCGGCCCTGCAGTGGGCGTGCTGTCTGGATTCTATTGAAGGGGGCTGGGCAGGCAGGACTCCTGGCTCCTATTCCTGCCTCTGCCACCTACTCCTGGCAGGCTGCTCCATGCCTCAGTTTCCCCCGTGTAACATGGGGATAGTGCTTACACCCGTGACAGGGAGGCTTGGCAAGAGCCTCAGGAATATCTCTGGGGGGACTCACGGGAGTAACAGCAGCAGGGTGTGCACAGAGCAGGATTTTGCCCTCCTGAGAGCAGCCATCAGCTCCTGAGAATAGCCCAGATCAGACTGGGGCTGCAGGCTGGAGCCAGCTCTGCTACAGCAAGTAGCTCCAGTGGTTAACAAGCATGCTGTCAAGCCCTTCCCTGGGTAGATGGTTTTGGCAGCCAGGTGTGTGCCCGGCTCCCCTCTGGAGGCAGGCCTGTGCTGCCAGCTGTGAGTTACAGAGTGTCTGTGCCATGGCAGGCAGCTATCCCAGAGGGGGGCCCCCTGCCCGAGACTGGTATCATTATCCCCATTTTACAGATGGGGAAACTGAGGCACAAATAGGGGAGGTGACTTGCCCAAGGTCACCCAGCTGGGAATGGAACCCGGGTCGCCCGTTCCAGTCCAGGGGTCTATCCACTAGGCAACACTGCCTTGGTGGATGGGAAAGTAGAGAGGAATGGTGCGGTCATGGATCCACAGGGTCGGTGCCAGGGCCCCAGCTGTGGAAGTCTCTGGGAGGAAGCCCTTTTCTGTGCCAGACCCCAACAGGTCTCTCTCTTCCTCCAGGACAGGCCACATGGCCTTCCCGCCTCCTGAGACTGAACCGCTAGGCTTCACCCCGTGAGCCCTGCCCAGTGAGTCCAGCTGAGACAGATCCTGGTAGAGACCCGTCCACTCCGCAGGGCCCGACGCCCCTCAGCCCGGGTGACAGGGCCACTCACCCAGCATTGTCAGGACAGTCGGGTTTCTTAGGCACCTGGACCCCAGCCTGGGCAGCCCAGCCCACTGAAGGGTAAAGCAAGAGGCTGTTCTGGTCAGCCCAGAGCCCAGCCGAGCTGCAGAGAAACCTGTTTTCAGCTCCGGGTCTCTCGCTCAGGGCCTGTCTACATGTAAACCACTTCAGCTGCTCCGCTTCAGTGATGCCGCCTTTCCCATACACCCGAGCAAAGCAGTTGCACCGACCCAATTGCCTCGTGTAGACCAGGCCTCGGCCTGACCTTGGTCAGTTCTCAGGCGAGAGCTCCCAGCTTCCTGCACTCATCCCCCAGCTCAAACCTTCCCAACCCTGTGTTCTCGAGCTGGGGGCCCTGCTCCAATTCCCTGCTGGGAGCATCCAGCCAGGAGCCATTGGAGCCGGCACGGTCTTTCTGGCCCCCAGGCTGATCTGGGTTGGATTCTCTTCATTTCACCAAGACATGGAGGTGACACCACCCCCATGACTCTTACCTTCCCTGAGAGTCCTTCCTCCCCACCCCCCACCAGAGAAGCCATGAAACATATAGGGGAAACTGAGGCACACATCAGATTCATAAAAGATATTACAAACATTCCCAGTTGATCACAGGTGCACAGTCTCCCAGCAGCTTGGCAAAGGCTGGAGGCAAGAGCAGAAGCAACAGGAGGGAGAGATCTGGGCAGACCTTGGATTTTACATCACTTTGCTTCTCCTAGGGGGACAGGAGCCACTGTGTTTCCCTTGCGAGAATCCAGGGGAGGGTAGGTTTGCAGCTCCCCTCTGCTGGGGGTGGGACGGGGATGGCAGGAGCTGGGGGAAGCCCACAGGCCAGGGCTGACTGTGGCTAAGGCTCAGGAGAGGTGGGCTCTATTCGTGCTCTGACAGACTCCCTGCATGCCTTAGTTTCCCATTTGTAACACAGGCCACCCTGCTTCCCTGGAAGGCTGAATTCATTAGTGAGGTTCCGATACCATGGTGATGGGTGTAGGAGCACACACAGATAGGAGTGTCCAGGTGTGGAAGAGGCTCTGTCATAAATATAAAGGGAAGGGTAACCACCTTTCTGTATACAGTGCTATAAAATCCCTCCTGGGTAGAGGCAAAACCCTTTCACCTGTAAAGGGTTAAAAAGCTAAGATAACCTCGCTGGCACCTGACCCAAAATGACCAATGAGGAGACAAGATACTTTCAAATCTGGAGGGGGGGCGGAACAAAGCATCTGTGTGTGTGATTCAGGAATGCAGTCTCACAACTCTTAGTTAGTAAGTAATCTAGCGAGAAATGCATTAGATTTCCTTTTGTTTAATAGCTGGTAAAATAAGCTGGGCTGGAGGGAATGTATATTCCTGTTTTTGTGTCTTTTTGTAACTTAAGGTTTTGCCTAGAGGGATTCTCTGTTTTGAATCTGATTATCCTATAAGGTATTTACCATCCTGATTTTACAGAGGTGATTCGTTTACCTTTTCTTTAATTAAAATTCTTCTTTTAAGAACCTGATTGATTTTTCATTGTTCTTAAGATCCAAGGGTTTGGGTCTGTGTTCACCTGTACAGATTGGTAAGGATTCTTAGCAAGCCTTCCTCAGGAAAGGGGGTGTAGGACTTGGGGGGATATTTTGGGGGAACACGTCTCCAAGTGGGCTCTTTCCCTGTTCCTTGTTTAAACGCTTGGTGGTGGCAGCATACAGTTCAAGGATAAGGCAAAGTTTGTACCTTGGGAAAGTTTTAACCTAAGCTGGTAAGAATAAGCTTAGGGGGTCTTTTGATGCAGGTCCCCACATCTGTACCCTAGAGTTCAGAGTGGGGAAGGAACCTTGACAGGCTCTGTGTGCGAAGCTTAGTTCTGTGACCAAACTGCCCTGTTTATAAACAGAGAGATTGTGCTGGGCACACACTTCCCCAGTCAGTGCCTCGGTTTCCCCATCTGTACAGAGGGGATAAGGACACTGGCCTTTGTAGAGCACTTTGAGATCTGCCCACAGCCAGTGTTAGAGAAGGGCTGGGGCCATTAGTCCAACCACACAGGGAATGCTATTGTTCTGCCAACCCCGCAGGATCTCCAAGGGGGTCTAGACCCCACCCCTCCCCCCCGCCAGGATCTCGGAGCAGCTTCTAAATCACTCCTCCTTCCTTCTACTTCTCGTGTGCTCCCCCTCCCCCACAGCTCTGTCCCATGGCAAGGGTGTGGCCGGCACAGCTTGCTCACCTGTCCCATGCTGGGCTCGTATTCCTTGAACACCTTGAGTTTGGCCAGCACAGCGTGCGCCAAGTGGAAGTTATCTTCATGGTCCCTGCAGCAAAGACAAACCCTGTGGGTCAGAAACAGCTCCTCCCCCAGGGGCACACGCACTTCCTGTAGGAGATAACCAGGTACCCTCGCCCTCTGGGCACACTCACTTCCTGTAGAGGATGGCCGGGTACCTCCCCATGGCACAGTCACTTCCTATTGGGGATAGCTGGGTACCCCTTCCCCCGGGCACACTCACTTCCTGTAGCGGATGGTCAGGTACCCTTCTCCCTCTGGGCACACTCACTTCCTGTAACGGATAGCTGGATACTCCTCCAGGGTTTCACACAATGTGGCAATCTGCTCTGCCAGCATCTCCATCTGCTTGTTCTTTTCGAAGAAGTGGTAGGGGCTGAACCAGTTGTGGAAGGTCTGTGGCCCGTCCAGGGAGTACACCTGGGGGACGGGGGAGAGCAGAGATCAGACCCTGGTGCCAACTGCTGGCAGCCAGGCCAGCTGTGTCCCATACCGCGCCCCTAAGATGCGCTGTTGGATCAGGCCAGCCTGGCGGAGCCGTAGCAAGCCCCTAGTGAGGGAGAGATCCCTTTGCCAGTGCCACTCCTGTTGTGGTAGAGGGATAGCGTCCCAGAGATTCATGCACCAGCCTGGGATGAAGATGCCCCAGGTTCAGGTCCTTACGTGGCTGCAGACTCCCGGGTGCCCTCAGGGGTGTGTCTCTGCCCTGGAGAAGTCAATGTTGGGGGAGGGGGCTTGGCCACGCTTCTAGTCTGGCGAAAGCCCCAGCATAGCCACTGGCAAACCCGGCATCAAGGTGCATCTGCCGCTGTCGCTTATTTCACTGGCCGAACAGAACGAGCCACTGGGGCAAACGTGCTTGGACACCAATAAACAGTATCGGCCCACAAAGGGTTTGCTGGCACAACGGGACGGGTGAGCCAGCAAAGCCTCCTGACGGACACTCAGCTTCTACCAGCCAAAGCTTCTCTTGGCACAGCTGGCACCGGTACCCCAGATGAAATCAGCCAGAGTGGCGAAAGGACTGCTTTGCCAGCGTAATGGCATCTACCCGGGGCTCTGCCACCACAGCTGCATCAGTTGCAGGGGGGATTTTTTCTCTCATGTCCCCGTAACAAACCCATACCAACAAAGCTTTTGTGTGTAGACCAGACTCATGTCTCTCTGTGCCTCAGTTTCCCCAACAATGCAATGGGGCTGACACCACAGTCCTGCCCCTCAGGGGCGTGAGGGGGGAAATCCACTGATGACACAAGGAGGGGATGGGGTGGTTGGGTAAAGGGCAGGCGTGTGGAGTATCGGGCTGTCTTGCAGGCCTAGTATAAACCACCAGTAAGAGCTGGTAAAGCCAGGGAGGCAGGGCCCTCCTCCCCCATACATCTACCATCCCCACCAGGTGCAAGCCAGCGATTCCACGTCTCACAGGGTGTGAGCAGCCAGCTAGTCCCTGCTGCCCTGTGCTGGCGTCAAACCCAGGGCCCTAGAAGGGAAAGGTCATCCCCCCACCCCGCCCCGGAGCCACATGGAACACTAAGGGTGGGGTGTCGTATGTCACCGTCCACCCCGTGGCCCTGCTCCTCCAAAGCCCGGCCACCCCTCACCCGGCTCTCGTAGGGCAGGAAGGCCATGTTGATCTCCTTGAGGGTTTTGATGGCCTTGATGATCAGCTCGTTGAACAGAGGCTCAGGACAGGCTGCAAGGCAGAGGCAGTGGGTGGGAGTGACAGGCACAGGGCTCAGGACCCCCAGCACAGCGCCAGCCCCCACGGACGGGGCCAGACCGGGCACAGCAGGGGCAGTAGTGCTGCACGCCTGTGGGGAACCTGGGCAAGCCAGCAGGGCCACACAGGAGTCAACGATGAGTCCAGCCCCCCCGAACCAGAGTCATGCCGGGTTCTCGCCTTCTGCAGCATCAGCAGCCGGGGGAGCCACAATCTCTCCTACGCAGCCCCTGTCTCACACCCTGCCCTCAGCCCCCCCGCAGGGCTGAGTGACCGGAGTGTACAACATAGGATGATGCACAAGGAGGAACAGGGACTTGGGCTCCCCCTGCCGCTGTAATGGGGAGAAGCAGATCTGACCCTGACACACTGGGTATTCTGGTGCTGTCCCATCCCCCCACCGAGTTGGGACTGATGGAGCAATGCATGCTGGGAATGGTAGCCAGAGGCCGCCTTTCTGGGCACATGCTGCAGGTGTCTGTGAGCCGTGCTGGCTGGAGGCAGGCCCGTGGGGGAGAAGGGGGGGGGAAGGGATAGGTGGGGTCATTCGGTCTGGCCTGCTGGGGCTGCATCCCCCTGCAGGAGGGCAGAGCATAATCAGGGTGCTGCGCACTGGCCTGCCGGCAGAGACATATCCCCGCACCCCCGGGCTTCAGTGTGCTGCTGTCCAGGCTCCCAGCTGGGGGATCCCCCGACCCCCGATACTCACGGTTGATGAAGAAGACGTGAGCTGCTTTGTAGTTGAAGGTGGGGGTGCCCTGGAAGTCATTGATCAGAGCCTGCACCTACTGCAAAGGGGGAAGAGGGGGGTTGTCAGGCCCAGCCCCTGGGGACTCAGAGCCCAGCATGATGCCATCGGGAGGTGGGCTGGTTTTCACCCCCCTGGCTCTGGGCTCCCTCCCTGCCTGGAGCAGGGCATGTGTCCATGTGCCCGGGACATCCTCAGGGCCCAGCCACATCTCTTGCTGGCACACAAGTGTCCGTGCCCAGCCTCAGATGGGGCCTGGTATTGCCTTGCTGCTGAACTAAGTGGGCTCTGAGCAGCGCCCAGGGAACAGCTGGCTGAGCAGCAATCCCAGGCAGCTGCCATCAGGGCCCGCTCCCTCCCCGAGCGCCAGGCTGGGCACCTGCAGCTTCGCCACGCCAGCTAGCCTGGCAGGGTGTTCGGAAGCTGTTCGGACTCCTCGACCGGCCATTGTGACAGGTGAGAACCTGGCTGTCCTGTCCGAAGCCCCAGGCCCCAGCTCGCAGTCCTCTCCTACAGTGCTCCCTCCGCGGGCAGCCCCTGCGGGTTCTGGGCTTCACCCTGCTCCGCCAGCGCCCCCTGCCCCTGGTCTCCCTCCACTCGCCTCCCTGCTGCAGATGCAGGAGCCTCCTCCCCCACAGCCCCTGCTCCCTGAGCCTCTGCCTCAGTGACTCTCCTTCGCTTTGAGTCTCAGCTGAGGTCGCCTCTCTCCGCCTGCTGCACCTGCCCATCCAACCCCCACAGGACTGCACTGCAGAGAGGTCTGGGGGACAGTCTGTGCCTCACGTGGCAAAGAACACGAAGCCCAGCTCTGGGGAAGCAGCCTCCTGGGGAGCCCTCTCGTTGAGGTGGATTAATTACATTAATAGGAGAGCGCTCTCCCGTAGACTTATCACATCTTCAGCAGACCTGCTAAACTGCCGCGGCAGCATTGATCACAGTGGTGCCGATTTAGCACTATAGTGAAGACAAGCCCTGTGTGTCTGTGCATCACCCAACCCAATGCAGCCCCAATCTGGGTTGGGGCCTCTCAGCGCTACAGTCATACCAATGGCAACAGGCAACGGACTCTGGGGTGTCCCTTGGGCTGCCTACACATCAGCAGTATATCCACTCTACGCAGACTCTGAACATCAGTAATGGGCACTGTGTAACAGAACTTCCCACTGTACTAAAGACAGCTGAAACACCCTAACATTAATCTTCCATGTAAACAATTCAAGGGGTGGAATGTATGCTTAAAGATAAGGAAGATGACAGTGCCTTAGCTGTCAGAGTGCAAGCAATCATGAACAGAAGGATGCTCACAGAAGAACTAAAACAGAGGGGAAATGTCTATGTGACACTCTCACTTTCAAGAGATGATCCACACAATCCGCAACTGTGAGAACCTGTAGGGTATTGTGCTTTAATGGTGCCTGGAACAAAACCTTGCTTTGAGACTCAAGCGTTGAGGACACACGCACATGCAGGCTGGCTATAAACTGATTTTATTTGTAGAGTTAGACAGGTCCTGCTAGGCTTTCCCAAGATTATATACAGCACTCATTGCCCAAAGAGCATGTACAATAGAAAAGTGATCAATAAAACCAGCACACACAGAATGCAAAACAATTCATTTCTTTGTGAACCATGGGATGCAAAGGAATGAGCAATGAACCTGAAATGGGGATGGGGGAGGGTAACAACCTGACAAAGAGAAATGAAAAAAGGCCATTTAACTAAACTGAAATTTAGTTTGTTAACTAGGAAAAAATTATCAGCTTGGTAAAGATCCAAAGCATCAGATTCTCTGGTTAAAAGGGGCTCACTGTCAACGTGAGGATTTTGAAATTCAAGGTTTTGACAGAACCTCCCTTTATATAACAACATTCTGAAAATTTCCATTTTAACTCAAGTTCCTTTTAAAAAAAAAGGATGCGTGAGGGGGAGAGGAAGCTTGCTTTTCTGTTGATGCTTTTAATGCTCTTTTCAGCAAGGAAGAAACTGACAACAGAGGAATAGTGAAACTGATGGCATGGAATTGCTGCACAAAGGAAAGGAGCTGAAAAGAGGAATCTCTTTTCTTTGCAAACTACTTCCTGTCAAAGTGATATTAGGAGTTACTCGCAACTGTTACAGATGCAGAGTTTTCAGTGAGATTTGTTTTCAAGCCAGTCATGTCCCTTTCATTAAGCTTGCACTGTGGGGGTGGAATAAGGTATCACAACTCATTGCCTGCTGAATGTTTAGGGACAGCAACTTCTCCAGCAAGAGCAGAGGCTGCCAGACATCACATCTCAGCTGTTTCGAAGGTTAAACAAAGCATCAAGTTTTTGAAGAAAATCCCCACTGCTCCCACATTCAGATCTCCCCAAACACTGTAAACCAGCAGCAACAGAGAATATGTTCCCTGTGGCAGGTCACCTTTCAGGCAAGAAGCATGTTAAATCTCATCTGAGAACAGCCTGGCTGTTGGCATGGTAAAGATGTCTAGTTTTGTGTTTCCATCCTCACCGGGCTCTGAGCATACATGCCGCGGTTTGAAAGCGTGAGTGTGCTATGCTCTGAAAGGAAAAGCTGGATTTGGGCCCCACAAAAAGCTCCATTTTAACCCTCAGACTAACTGACCCACTCAGAACCTGCTTCATGGGCAGCAGAAGGGGAAGCTTCCGACACAAACTCTGTCCCTGTCCCTCCCCACCAGTGTGTCTCAAACCTGCCTTGGAGGGATCCGCTCTAGAAGGCAGTGGGGTGTTCTGTGCTGGGCTTTGCTAGGACTGCCAATCAGGGCAGCTCGTTGGAGCTGGCTGCGCGAGTGGTTCTGGGGCGTGGCTGCCTGTCCCACTAAGAACCATACTGAGTCCCACACACACAAGCAGTCAGAAAACAGAAGTCAGAACTGCTGAAATAGGCCAGAGCAGAAGCAGCAGCCTAGGTGTAAAGATGCTGCAGCTCAGGAACCAGTACTTCTTGACTTTATTTTATTAAGCTGGGGAAAGTTTCAGTTTTCTCCAATCTTGAAAAACAGGTCACACACCCACCTCCTGTGGGGCAACTGCTCTCCCATCAGCTCTGCGGGCAGGGGGTTGGGCACATGGGAAAAAACCTCCTGATGCTGCCCCACCAACATATCTCAGCTCTGCACGCGGGAGAGATCATCTCATAGGCAAGAGCAGAGTTCAGAGTCTAAGTCCGTCTACAGACAACAGGCAGGTGTAATCCCCAATCGGGTGGAGATGCACACACTAGCTCTGTTCAAGCTGGCACACTAAAAGCAGCAGCAGCAAGGGCTAGCCACCAGAGTGTGTACCTAGGATCTCAGACGGGATCATGTTCTGGCAGGGGCTGCGGCTCGAGCTAGCTGCCCGAGCACAAGTCTGTCTGAGATTCTAGGTACGTCCAGGGTGGTTAGCCCCAGCCACGCGCCTGTGCCACCGCTGCTACTGGTATTTCTAGTGCGTTAGCTCAGTCAGAACTAGCCTGCGTATCCCTACCCGAGCTGAGCATGACAACCGCCAGCTACAGTGTGGATGCATCTTTGGCTGCCAGTTGGCATCCCTGGCAGCAGCCAAGAATTGAACAGGGGGTGGGGGAACGGAAGGGAGGGGCAATTAATATGACGGGGAGATGTGTTCCACTGGAACTGGGCTGAGGCCCCCTCTGCTTCATGCAGGTTCATTCTGATCTGCACACAGCCTGCACCAGACCAGCCACGGCACCCCTTTGAGGACATCCTAACACAGTCCTTTTAGTTACACAGTGCACATGTACGAGAGCAGCACGCCGGCTCCCCCAGCAGTGCGCTCAGCGGCCGTCCAGGGCTTTGTCTCGCGCGATGACGGACTCGTCAAATTTGATCATGAGGGTGGTGCCCTTGTGCCAGTGGGCCGTCACCTTGGCGGGGAAGCCACTGTAGGTGAGGATGGCTTCCACGATGCCAGCTGTGAAGGAGGCACAGTTGAGCGTGCTGTTCTCCTTGGGCACCGAGATGTACGTGTTGATCAGTGGCTCTTTCTCGATGATGTAGTAGGTCTTGTCATCGTCGTTGGCCTGCTCCAGCTTGTCCGCCTCCTTCCCGAACAAGGCCTTCCACACCGTCACCTTGATGAAGAGGAGAATGTTGATGACCTTGGTCTCCCGCTTGCCGTTTTTCTCCCGCATGACCAGCACATCCAGGATGCGAGCTCCCACTTGCTGGCCCAGCTCAGAGAGCTTGTTCTGGAGCTCAGAGACGGAGTAGACCCGGTTCTGACAGTACTGGACTATCTCGGAGAAGAGCAGAGAGAACGCGCTCAGGCTGACCTCTGTCTTTGGCCGGGTCAGAGACCGCTCCAGGATGGCAGATTTCCCACGAGTGAAGCGTGAATCCATTGTCCTAAAGGAGAACAAAATACTCAGTTCTGTGGGACAGGTACCGTCTCTTATGAGGTGTCTTTGCAGCGCCTGGCACTATGGGGCCCTGAGCGCAGCTGAGGCTGCAAAGTGTTACTGCGATACACAGAAGAAAAAATAAAAGAAATCTGATGAACAAATCTCTGATGTGTCTATAGCACCTTCCATTCCCACGGGCTTTACAGCAATACCTCTGCAGGGATCCCGTACTCAATGCTGAGAGGCAGCCAGCCACCTTTGGGGTGGGGTGGCTGCGCATACAGGGCTCCCTGGTCCGGCGCCGAGAGGCAGCCAGGCTTGGGGGGGGCACACAAGCAGGGGGGCAGCACAAGAAGCACAGAAGGAGCCGCCCGACTGACGCCACGTGGGGTGGGGCAGGATTTGAATCTGGGGAGCTAACAGTTGACACCAGAGTTGGGATCCGGCTGGGGCGACGGCCCGGGATTCACACAACTGCCGAGGCCTCGGAGGGATCCCGAGGGCCCCCCCCTTACAGGGGGCGAGGAGACCCACGCGTCCCTGTGACCCAACCCCGTCACCCTGTCCCCAGCACCACGAACCAACGCCACGGACGGCCCCCGCCGGGCTCAGGCGTGCCGCCCCGCCCCCACCTCTCCCGCCCCGCGCGCCGGGGGCCCCGGCCGGGCACTCACGCGCGGCGGGGGCGGGGCGCCTCTCTCCAGGAGGGGGAAGCGGGAGCGGAAGCCAATGAGCCGCCCCCGTTCCCGGCCGCACTCTGCGCTTTACGGCTGCCGCTGCTGCAAACGGGCCGCGCCGCACCAGCGGGCCCCCGGAAGAGGCCGCAGGGAGGCGGGGCTTGGTCACCACAGCAACCGGGACTGGTTCTCGTAGGGGCAGGGGTCACGTGGTAACGGGCTCGGCTGGCGGGAGGGGGGGGGGTGCCGGGGGCGAGGCCGACCGGTGGGTGCGGCTCGTTGTCAGCCGCCAGGACGTAGGAAGCGAACGCGACCTTCTGCGGGAGGTGTGGCCTAAGGGAAGGGGGTGGGGCTTGTTGCGAATACAGACTGACAGGGCTACCACTCTGAAACCTACACTGTGTCAGCTACACCCTGTGTGCCAGTTATACCCTGTGTCACCTACACTGTGCCAGCTACACTGTGTCAGCTACACCCTGTGTGCCAGTTATACCCTGTGTCACCTACACTGTGCCAGCTACACCCTGTGTGCCAGTTACACCCTGTGTCACTTACACTGTGCCACCTACACTGTGTCAGCTACACCCTGTGTGTCAGTTATACCCTGTGTCACCTACACTGTGCCAGCTACACTGTGTCAGCTACACCCTGTGTGCCAGTTATACCCTGTGTCACCTACACTGGTGCCAGCTACACTGTGTCAGCTACACCCTGTGTGCCAGTTATACCCTGTGTCACCTACACTGTGTCAGCTACACCCTGTGTGTCAGTTATACCCTGTGTCACCTACACTGTGCCAGCTACACCCTGTGCGTCAGTTATACCCTGTGTCACCTACACTGTGCCAGCTACACTGTGTCAGCTACACCCTGTGTGCCAGTTATACCCTGTGTCACCTACACTCTGCCAGCTACACTGTGTCAGCTACACCCTGTGTACCAGTTATACCCTGTGTCACCTACACTGTGCCAGCTACACCCTGTGTGTCAGTTATACCCTGTGTCACCTACACTGTGCCAGCTACACTGTGTCAGCTACACCCTGTGTGCCAGTTATACCCTGTGTCACCTACACTGTGCCAGCTACACTGTGTCAGCTACACCCTGTGTGCCAGTTATACCCTGTGTCACCTACACTGGGTGCCAGCTACACTGTGTCAGCTACACCCTGTGTGCCAGTTATACCCTGTGTCACCTACACTGTGTCAGCTACACCCTGTGTGTCAGTTATACCCTGTGTCACCTACACTGGGTGCCAGCTACACTGTGTCAGCTACACCCTGTGTGTCAGTTATACCCTGTGTCACCTACACTGTGCCAGCTACACTGTGTCAGCTACACCCTGTGTGCCAGTTATACCCTGTGTCACCTACACTGTGCCAGCTACACTGTGTCAGCTACACCCTGTGTGCCAGTTATACCCTGTGTCACCTACACTGTGTCAGCTACACCCTGTGTGTCAGTTATACCCTGTGTCACCTACACTGGTGCCAGCTACACTGTGTCAGCTACACCCTGTGTGCCAGTTATACCCTGTGTCACCTACACTGGGTGCCAGCTACACTGTGTCAGCTACACCCTGTGTGCCAGTTATACCCTGTGTCACCTACACTGGGTGCCAGCTACACTGTGTCAGCTACATCCTGTGTGTCAGTTATAATGTGTGTCACCTACACTGGTGCCAGCTACACCCTGTCCCTACACTGTGTCAGCTACACCCTGTGTGCCAGTTATACCCTGTGTCACCTACACTGTGCCAGCTACACTGTACTACACTGTGTCAGCTACACCCTGTGTGCCAGTTATACCCTGTGTCACCTACACTCTGCCAGCTACACTGTGTCAGCTACACCCTGTGTACCAGTTATACCCTGTGTCACCTACACTGTGCCAGCTACACCCTGTGTGCCAGTTATACCCTGTGTCACCTACACTGTGCCAGCTACACTGTGTCAGCTACACCCTGTGTGCCAGTTATACCCTGTGTCACCTACACTGTGCCAGCTACACTGTGTCAGCTACACCCTGTGTGCCAGTTATACCCTGTGTCACCTACACTGTGCCAGCTACACTGTGTCAGCTACACCCTGTGTGCCAGTTATACCCTGTGTCACCTACACTGTGCCAGCTACACCCTGTGTGCCAGTTATACCCTATGTCACCTACACTGTGCCAGCTACACTGTGTCAGCTACACCCTGTGTGCCAGTTATACCCTGTGTCACCTACACTGTGCCAGCTACACTGTGTCAGCTACACCCTGTGTGCCAGTTATACCCTGTGTCACCTACACTGTGTCAGCTACACCCTGTGTGTCAGTTATACCCTGTGTCACCTACACTGTGTGCCAGCTACACTGTGTCAGCTACACCCTGTGTACCAGTTATACCCTGTGTCACCTACACTGGTGCCAGATACACTGTGTCAGCTACACCCTGTGTGCCAGTTATACCTGTGTCAGCTACACTGTGTCAGCTACACCCTGT